CAAAGAAAATTTCGTAATAACAATACAAATATTTGGGACCTAATTTCTATTTCAAAAAACAACGGTAGACATTATCTATTAACTAAGCTCTGTTCTTTGCCTGTTGATAAATTACATCAAATTTTGGAGGAATGCAACACAATTCCATATTGCAGTCCTTAGTATGAAATTGTCCAAATTATAATTGCATATTGTTATTCTAAATTGTTTCCCAAAATTGATCGCCCTGAAGATCACAAATTTTTTTTTGTTAAAATTAAATATGACAATAAAGGTTTTGATTTTGTAAATATTGCCGGTATTTTTAATAATCATTCTGTTAAAGAACAAATTCCTGGCTATTTTGATAATACTGAACTTCCTCCTATTTGTTATGTTTACAAAAAATCTACACGGAAATATGAGTTTAATTACAGCGAAGTGTGTAAAGATGTTAATATCAGTGGCAATACACCTACCTCATGAAATTGCAGTAATTTCCGAAAAAAAAACATTTATGTCCCCAGTTCCCATGTTATAACAGGAGACCTTAACATTGTTCGTGACCGAGAGTTGAAATCATTTCTCATTAAAGGACCTAAATATCGTCCCCCGTCAATTATTAATTGGAAAGAGTGTCGTAACATCATCCACGACTCACTCCATACTTACTGCTCTAAATGGATAAAACGAGAAAAAGCTGACAAGAAATCATTAGAGTCTTTTTTTAATTCAGTAATGAACATAGTTGATAAATGTATTCAACATTTTAAAGATCATTTTACTCCTAACAATAACCATTATAGCCAAATTTCTCGTATCAAACATAAGCTAAAAGAACTAGCCAAGGAATATGTTTTTGTCCCGGCTGATAAGGCTGCTAACAATATCATTATTGTTTGACATAAATTTTACATTGAAGTTCTACAAAAGGAAATCACGAATTCACCAACATTCCAACTGACTCCATTTTCGGAAAATGACATCTGTAACAAACATAAACTTTTAGCTACCTCTTTACAAGCAGAACCAAATACAATGAAAGTTTTAACTATGTACTGGCTTCCGAAGCTGCACAAAACTCCTTACAAATATAGATTTATTTCGTTTTCAAGCCATTGTTCCCCTACTAAACTATCTATTATACTTACTAGTACACTTGGTACAATAAAAAACCTGGTAATAAATTGTTCAAATCAGGCCTTTGAAAATAGTGGAATTAATTACTTTTGGAGTGTCAAAAATTCGTTGGAAGTACTTGATAAATTGGATGCTTATATTGGTGATTTTGAACCTGTTCAAAGTTTTGATTTTTGTCGAGCCTTCGACTTTAGTCGAAAAAGCGAGACATAGCGATCCTACATTCCGTCGACGGCGGCGGCGTCCACAAATATTCACTCTGTGGTTAAAGTTTTAGAAATTTTAATAACTTTCTTAAACTATCCTGGATTTCTACCAAACTTGGACAGAAGCTTGTTTATGATCATAAGATAGTATCCAGAAGTAAATTTCGGAAAAATAAAATTCAGTTTTTTCCATATTTTACTTATAGATGGACTTAGTTTTTCTGCCGGGAAATATTACATTCACTCTGTGGTTAAAGTTTTTAAAATTTTAAAAACTTTCTTAAACTATCCTTGGTTTGTACCAAACTTGGACAGAAGCTTGTTTATGATCATAAGCTTGTTTATGATCATAAGCATCAATTTTTTCCGTATTTTACTTATAAATGGACTTAGTTTTTCTGCCGGGAAATATTACATTCACTCTGTGGTTAAAGTTTTTAAAATTTGAATAACTTTCTTAAACTATCCTTGGTTTGTACCAAACTTGGACAGAAGCTTGTTTATGATCATAAGATAGTATCCAGAAGTAAATTTTGTAAAAAAATAAATCCATTTTTTACTTATTTTACTTTTAAATGGACTTAGATTTTCTGCCAGGAAACAACACATTCACTCTGTGGTTAAACTTTTTAAAATTTTAATAACTTTCTTATACTGTTTTGGATTTGTACCAAACTTGGACAGAAGCTTGTTTATGCTAGTATCTAGAAGGAAATTTTGTTTTCTTCCAGTTAACATTACATTCAGTCTGCAATTAAAGTTTTTAAACATTTATTAGATTCATAAACTATCCTGGATTTTTACCAAACTTGGACAGAAGCTTCTTACAATCAAAAGATAGTATCAAGAGGAATATTTTTATTGATTTATTTCCTCATTTTTGTTGAGCCTGCGATTAACAGAAAAAGTAGGCGAGACACTGGGTTCCACGGAACCCTTACGAATTTTTCTACCCTATATACCACTTTGCCTCATAATCTTATTAAGAAAAAATTCACACACCTGATTAAATGGGCATTTAAAAAGTCGGAATGCAAATATATATGTTCAAACTCTTTTAGGTCATTTTTGTCGAGCCTTTGACTTTAGTCGAAAAAGCGAGACATAGCGATCCTACATTCCGTCGTTGTCGATGTCGTCGGCTGAGTCCACAAATATTCACTCTGTGGTTAAAGTTTTTGAAATTTTAATAACTTTCTTAAACTATCCTGGATTTCTACCAAACTTGGACAGAAGCTTGTTCATGATCATAAGATAGTATCCAGAAGTAAATTTTGTAAAAATATAATTCCATTTTTTCCGTATTTTACTTATAAATGGACTTATTTTTTCTGCCAGGAAATATTACATTCACTCTGTGGTTAAAGTTTTTAAAATTTTAATAACTTTCTTATACTATTTTGGATTTGTACCAAACTTGGACAGAAGCTTGTTTATGATCAAATGCTAGTATCTAGAAGGAAATTTTGTTTTCTTCCAGTTAACATTACATTCAGTCTGCAGTTAAAGATTTTAAACATTTATTAGATTCATAAACTGTCCTGGATTTTTACAAAACTTGGACAGAAGCTTCTTACAATCAAAAGATAGTATCAAGAGGAATATTTTTATTGATTTACTTCCTCATTTTTGTTGAGCCTGTGATTAACAGAAAAAGTAGGCGAGACACTGGGTTCCACGGAACCCTTACGACAATTTTTTTAGTAACAACAAACAAAAGAACTATGTCAATTGGACCTGATTTGATACTATAACTGCCCTTGAATTTTTACTAGATAACATTTTTGTTCGCTATGGAGATTCCGTATATCGTCAGGTTATCGGAATTCCCATGGGGACTAACTGTGCACCACTTATTGCGGACGTGTTTCTGTATTGTTATGAGTTACAATTTATGACTATAATCAGCAAAGACCCATCGAAACAACATCTCATTCAAAAATTTAATAACACTTTTAGATATTTAGATGATATATTGGCTCTCAATAATGACGACTTCAGTATGTACACTAAAGAGATTTATCCTGCCGAACTGACTTTAAATAAAGCTAATACTAACAATGAACACTGCCCTTTCCTGGATCTTGATATCTATATCTTTAACGGGAAGCTTAATATCAAAATTTATGATAAAAGAGATGATTTTTCATTTCCTATTGTTAATTATCCATTTTTAGATGGTGACGTTCCTTTGTCACCATCTTATGGTGTTTATATATCTCAACTTGTTCAATTCGCTCGTGTATGTAACAACGTATCTGATTTCAACGAAAGAAATCTCTGTATTACTGAAATTACACGAGGGTTTTTCGATATCACAAACTAGTCAAAACATTTACTAAATTTTATCATCGGTACAAGGACATCATTCGTAAATATAAATCAACATGCAGACATCTTATACTTTCGGGTATTTCACATCCAATATTTTATGGTAATATTCTTTACAAAGCACAAAAAGCATTCACCGCAAAAGCTATCCAAACCTTTAAACAGACTTATTTGGAAAGGATATAGTTACGATACTGTTGTCAAGTCATTAAGGATTACATATTTTGGTATTAATATTGATTCACTCATAGGGTCTTTGCATCGGAAATAAACACATTTATTCTAAAACCAGTTATTTGCATGATACGGGTTATGTTCTTCTCATATATTTTATGATGGTATGATATTAAACCCCTTACAGGAGGGATTGTACTTGATTTTCATATGATGAAGACATAATCTTTCAATCAGTTTAATTGAGGTCTGGAGCTGGCATGTCAGTAACTGCTAGTAGTCCTTTGTTCATTTATGTATCATTGTCATTTTGCTTAGTTTCTTTTGTTACCTTTTCTGACATCGGACTAGAACTTCTTTTGAACTGAGTTTTACTGTGCGTATTGCTATGTGTTTCTTTATTCTACATTGGCTAGAGGTATAGGGGGATGGTTGAGATCTCACAAAATATGTTTAACCCCGCCGCATTTTTGCGTCTGTCGCAAGTCAGGAGCCTCTGGCCTTTGTTAGTTTTGTATGTTTTTTTAATTTTAGTTCATTTATATGTTTTGGAGTTTAGTGTGACGTCCATTTTCACTGAACTAGTACACAATTTTATTTAGGGGCCAACTGAGGACCACCTCCGGGTGCAGGAATTCTCGCTGCATTGAAGACCCATTGGTGGCCTTTGGCTGTTGTCTGCTCTTTGGTCAGGTTGTTGTCTCTTTGACATATTACCCATTTTTCCATTCTCAATTTTATTGAAGATTTTGACTTGATATTTTTATGTAGTTTACACCTCGACAAGTTATAGATCAAGTTAGAATTTCGTTCAATTACAATGAATTTTTAACCGGTAGGGAACTATACTCACAGAATGCTTGTTTATTTGGTACAAAATAGTTTTGGTTAAAGAAAATACCTAAATTTTAGAGAAACAAAATTCTTCCAGGATATCAACTAATAAATTGCTAAATTGTAGCTCTTTGAACATACTGAAAGGCTTGTTCTCTACTGGCTTATAAACACCTGTTTAATCTACTCACATGAATTGGTGCTTATGCCAAGTCAAGTATCTTATTTGGATTGTTTTTTTTTTTGTCATTTAAGGGATTTTTTTGTTGAATATGTTCATTTCTGTTGGATTGTTGTGATTTCCATTTATACATATTTAAATGTTTTATATTCTAGCCATTTTCCTCATGCTATATAGGATCTCCTTGTCCAAAATCCGCTTTAGTTTCCTTTGCTGACCAGTCAGATTCTAACACAAATGCAGAGGTAAAGAAAAAGTCACCATTCAAATTCATCTTTCCTGGCCAATCAAAACCTAGTACTGAACCTGGTATCAGAACTGTTCCTACTGGTACACAGAATGAAGAATGGGGGTCTCCTATAGTACTTCATGGGCAAATAGGATCAGTATGCTTATTTCATGATGTGATAACACCAGCTCAGATTAAAGCACTTTATACATTAGGTAAGTGATGTTAATCTTTTTTGTTTTTCTGTTTTGGATCTCAGATAGTAGATAATAGTAAGATCAATTATTGAGCATATTGTGTAAAAAAAATGTACTGTGCACAACAAGAAATTGACTTCATATACACACTACTCACACATAGCTTTCTTTCATTTTCATTTTCCAAAGGAAATGTGAGCTTTTGCCATCACTTGGCGTCCGTCGTTGTCTGTCGTCGACCGTCCGGTGTAAACTATTTCAAACATCTTCTCCTCTGAAACTACTGAACCAATTCCAACCAAACTTAAGCTGAATGATCCTTAGGGTATCTAGAATAAAGTTTGTGTTTTATTTTCTGTTTCCTCAAAAAACATGGCCGCCATGGGTAAAAATAGAACATAGGGGTTAAATGCAGTTTTTGGCTTCTATCTCAAAAACTAAAGCATTTAGAGCAAATCTGAGGGAGTAAAAATGTTCATCAGTTCAAGATCTATTTCCCCGGAAATTTTCAGACGCATCAGACAACCCGTTGTTGTGTTGCTGCCCCTGAATAGGTAATTTTAAGGAAATTTTGCAATTTTTTACGACCGCAAAAAATGCTTTGTATATTGGTATGATGTCATCGTCTTCATCTGCATCTTCATCCGAAGACAAATTTGATTTCCGTACAATAACTTTAGTTCAAGTGAATGGATCTCTATGAAATTTGACCAGAAGGTTCAATATCACAAAAGGAAGGTTCAATATCACAAAAGGAAGGTTGGGATTGATTTTGGGTGTTATGGTACCAACAGTTTAGGAATTAGGGGCCAAAAAGGGGCCAAAAATAAGCATTTTTGTTGTTTCCGGACAATAACTTGTGTGTAAGTGTATGGATCTTTCTGAAATTGTACCACAAGGTTCCATATCACAAAAGGAAGGCTGGGATTGAGTTTGGGGGTAATTGCCCTAAACGTTCTGGAATTAGAGGCCAAAAAGGGGCCAAAAACTATCATTTTTCTAGTTTCCAGACAATAACTTGTGTTTATGTGTATGGATCTCTCTGAAATTGTAATGCAAGGTAGCATACCACAAATGGACGGCTGGGATTGAGTTTGGGAGTATTTGCCCCAAACCTTCAGGAATTGGGGGCCAAAAAGTGGTAAAAAACAAGAATTTTTGTAGTTTCCAGACAATAACTTGTGTTTAAGTGTATGGATCTTTCTGAAATTGTACTGCAAGGTACCATACCACAAAGGGAAAGCTGGGATTGAGTTTGGGGGTATTTACTAAAAGGGGGAAACAAAAAATATTATGGGGGGGGGGGATTTTTTTTTTTCATAATTTTTTGGTTTTTTTTCTTAAAATTGTCCATTTTTGCATTTATTATTTCTGATTTATATTTAAAAGCAAAAAATACTGATATGGCAGGAGATACACACCAAACATGACGTGTAAATTATTATATGAAGTATTGTGCAACAGCATGCTATTGCGCAATAGCAGGAAATCTTCAATTGCATAGTATTGTGCAATAGCAAGAAATCTTCAATTGCATAGTATTGGGCAATAGCATAATATTGCACAATAGCAAGAAATCTTCAATTGCACAGTATTGCACAATAGCAAGAAATCTTCAATTGCACAGTATTGTGCAATAGCAAGAAATCTTCAATTGCACAGTATTGCGGAATAGCAAGAAATATCCAATTGCACAGTATTGCGCAATAGCACAATAGTGCCCAATATCCAGAAATCTTCAATTGCATAGTATTGTGCAATAGCAAGAAATATCCAATTTCACAGTATTGTGCAATTGCAAGAAATCTTCAATTGAAAATTAATACAAATATTTCAACCCAATTCAAATTTTTAAGATTTTTCACCACATTTATTTTGTGTCAGAAACCTATATTATGTCAAAAATTTGATCACAATCCAAATTCAGACAGTATCAAGCTTGAATATTGTGTCCAAACTTGCACCAACTGTTAAGGGTTCGATGTCACTGGTCGTATCAGGCTGCGCTCAGGGAAGCATTTTATTGGTTATTGTCTTGAATATTATAATAGATAGAGATAAACTGTAAACAGCAAAATCGTTCAGCAAAGTAAGATCTACAAATAAGTCTACATGATCAAAATTGTCAATTGACCCCATAAGGAGTTATTGTCAATTGTTAAAGTCAATTTTTAACAATTTTTCGTAAATTTTTGTAATCTTTTTACAAAAATCTTCTCCTCTGAAACTACTTGGCCAAATTCAACCAAACTTGGCCTAAATCATCCTTAGGGTATCTAGTTTAAAAAATGTATTTGATGACCTCGCCCATCAACCAACATGGCCGACATGGCTAAAAATAGAACATAGTGGTAAAATGCACGATTTGTCTATTATTTTGTGAACCATTATAAATAGAGAAAATCTGAAAGGAGCAAAAATGTTCAAAATGATGAGCTCTACCAATTGTCCATATACTTCAAAACTGTCAGACAAATTCTGATAGGATTTATTGCCCATAAATGACAAATTTTACCTTTTTTTTCATTTTTGCCTGTTATTATGAAAACTATGATATTTAGAGAGAAACATTTTTTTTTCCGTTATGCCTTATATGATTTAAATTATAATAGATAAATAGACACTTTTAATCACAAAAATGATCAACAAGGCAACATCTATTAAAAAGTCAAATTTTGCCGATATAGTTAGTAGACTGTCACTCTTCATAGGAGTGATTGCTCTTAAATAAGGATTTTTTTTACCCTCTTTTGTGTTTTGAGCAAAAACTAAAGAATATAGAGAGAAACTAAACAGACTAAAAGATCAGTAATACAAGATCAAAATACAAGATCAACAAAATAGAGATTTTTGTCATGAAGTCTATTCTCGTCTACAATGTTGGAGAGTGTCCTTTTTTAGATATGCACATAGACCAAGGTGAGCAACACAGGCTCTTTACAGCCTCTTGTTTTAGTTTTTACAAATACAACATTTGCTATATTTTGAGTTTCATGAATTTATATGAAGAATCTATTATCAATACAAACTGTACAAACTAAGAGGAGATAATATGCATTCCAAAATGTGACTTAGCTTGGAAATGATTGAACTAAAGTAGTTAGGTTCCTAATTTTCTTTAAAAGACTAATAATGTATTTAAACTTACACAAACTTAATAATAAACATATCATTAACATGAAGTATATCATGACTTTCTGTTTTTTTTTATTAACAGACAACATATTATTTTGACACATTCTGTACACAAAACTGACAATAGATTCTTATTTTCTTTGGGAAAGTGTACCAATGATTTTATACAAATTCTATTTATATTTATAGGACCAAATCAGATGAACATTTTTGATGATGAAGAACACACAGAATTGAATGATTTAGTCAATAAGTCTGTACTGTATTACTCAGCAAAGGTCAGTTACAAATTGACCACAAATGAACCACATAATAATAGTTTAACTTTTTTTTTAAGACAACTAATTCTCAAAAAAAACCTTGCTAATCTGAAAAATGAACAGAACAGAAATAACTTCTTAAAAAGTTATTAATTGACATAAAAACAATGCAGTAGTTAAAAGTTATTAATTGACATAAAAACAGTGCAGCAGTAAAAATTATTAATTGACATAAAAACAGTGCAGCAGTAAAAAGTTATTAATTGACATAAAACCAATGCAGCAGTAAAGAGTTATTAATTGACATAAAAACAATGCAGCAGTAAGAAGTTATTGACATAAAAACAGTGCAGCAGTAAAAAGATATTGACATAAAAACAATGCAGCAGAAAAGAGTTATCAAATTGACATAAAAACAGTGCAGCAGTAAAAAGTTATTGACATAAAAACAGTGCAACAGTAAAGAGTTATTTATTGACATAAAAACATTGCAGCAGAGATTTGAATTAACCTTAGGTAAGAAAACAGAACTTTTGTTCATATTATGTTTATTTTAAGACATTCAATATTAAACTGTATATATATATTTTTCTCAGTATATTTATTTTCACCTATTTTGGGGTAGGTAAATACATGGGAATACAAATGCTATTTACATACGTGTAAAAAAAACATTGAATTGATATCACCAGGATTTATTGATATAACTTTACATGTATATTACCTGACATATAACCTCAACTGAAACAGTTTAAACAACACCAGTGCATGATCAATACAAAAACCCAATTAAGGATTAGAGGACAAACGTAAAGAATAATGACCCAAACAAATCTTTAGACACCTTTATTGTGTAACAAACTAATTTGACAGTACCTCTATCAAACAGTTGACTGTTAAGATGATTGGATAATCATGTAAATTTGAAATACTACCAAAGACTTTACTTTACTCGCACTCTAAAGGCTACTTGCAGTGTTAAATTGGAAGTCCTTTTTACTTAACACAAAATGACCATTTTTATGTGTTGATATTTTTTAAATACTCTTGCCCATGATGCTACATGATTTCATTTTTACATAACAAATGGGATAAATGAACTGATTCATCATATATTTTGACCTTATAAGTATACAGGGGGTCAACTCAACTTGCGTTGTCTAGAAGTTGAGATAATTGATTCATTTTATATGTCATGTGGAGTTGACTGTTACTGAGGAGATAATTGACATTACCCATGTAATTTTGTATGTCATGTGAAGTTGACTGTTACTGAGGATATAATTGACATTACCCATGTATTTTATTTGTCATGTGAGATTGACCTTTCCTGAGGATATAATTGACATTACCCATGTATTTTATATGTCATGTGAGATTGACTGTTACTGAGGAGATAATTGACATTACCCATGTAATTTTATATGTCATGTGAGATTGACTGTTACTGAGGAGATAATTGACATAACCTTGTTTTTTATGTCATGCAGGATTGGCTGTCACTGAAGTTTATACTAACACCTGTATTTTTAGAAATGAGAACACTGATGCAAGAATTATGATTTTCTAAACTTGCTCAATGTACTCCATGTCCTTTTTGATTTTAAGGCATCAAAGTGAACTTGCACCTTCATGGTTATATGTGAAGTATTGATAAATCTTTGAATGATGCCCTTTAAAAATATGTTCTAATGAATGCAGCCATGTGAGGTTTACTTAATACAAGGTTAAAAGCTTAACAGTTTTACTTTACTGAGTATTCCAATGTTTCTACAAACTACTACTGATATGATGTCTTGGTTCTTTTGGTGAGTGTGTTTAAAAGCACACACCTGCTTAACTTCTTTTAGGCAGTGGCATTATCATTATAATTATTGTATTTCTAAAGGCTCACAAAGATGGAGTAGTTGTTGATTTGACCGGAAATCAGCACCATGGACATTTAATTGGCCAGTGTTGTGTAACATGGGATATTAAGGTAAGATATTATGGTTAGGGGATATGTTATATGCTAGTGTTGTGTAACATGGAACATTAAGGTAAGATATTATGGTTAGGGATATTTTATATGCCAGTGTTGAGTCACATGGGACATTTGGTTAGGGATATTTTATATGCTAGTGTTGTGTAACATGGGATATTAAGGTAAGATATTATGGTTAGGGGATATGTTATATGCTAGTGTTGTGTCACATGGGACATTAAGGTAAGATATTATGGTTAGGGATATTTTATATGCCAGTGTTGAGTCACATGGGACATTTGGTTAGGGATATTTTATATGCTAGTGTTGTGTCACATGGGACATTAAGGTAAGATATTATGGTTAGGGGATATTTTATACGCCAGTGTTGTGTCACATGGGACATTAAGGTAAGATATTATGGTTAGGGGATATTTTATATGCTAGTGTTGTGTCACATGGGACATTAAGGTTAGATATTATGGTTATGGGATATTTTACTGTATAGCGGGTTATTTTCGCGGGGTGTTTATTTTCGCTTATTTTGACGGATGAATGAAAATCGCGAAAATAAATTCCGCAAACATTTATGCATACGTTCGGTACTTTCTAACGTATAGGTTAGTTTTAACAACATAAAAGACAAAGGGTATTGTACATAAATGTATTTTATAAAATGACTGTCACGTGTGTATATCCTTATCAATTAGTGTCAAATAGACTAAGAGTGTAAAGTACTCTATCAGGTAATTACCCTTATTAATTAGTGTCAAATTACATAACAGTTGTAAGTCACTCTTGATAATTTTATAGCCTAAATAGAAAGTACATCAAAGGTCCGGTCAATATAAATGAATAAGACGTCATTCAGGTACAAAAATCAATTAACCATAACAGTAGACATTCACTTCTCAATTTTTACAACTTTTTATATGCAACAATTTCAGTATCCGCCAAAATATTTAATTGGGATTTAAGAATCCACCAAAATAAAAACCTCCAAAATTTTTCGTATACTTTGATGCCCCTAAATCGCGAAATTTTACACCCGCGAAAATAACCCGCTATACGGTATATGCCAGTGTTGTGTAACATAGGACATTTGATTAGGGATATTTTATATGCTAGTGTTGTGTCACATGGGACATTTGGTTAGGGATATTTTATATGCTAGTGTTGTGTCACATGGGACATTAAGGTAAGATATTATGGTTAGGGGATATTTTATATGCCAGTGTTGTGTCACATGGGACATTAAGGTAATATATTATGGTTAAGGGATATTTTATATGCTAGTGTTGTGTCCCATGGGACATTAAGGTTAGATATTACAGTTAGGGGATATTTTATGTGCTAGTGTTGTGTAACATGGGACGTTAAGGTAAGGTATTATGGTTAGGGCCACCCTTAAAAAATTGTTTGTTTGGCATATCCGACCCACGCTATCAGCAGGTGGGTATGCAGCATTGTTCTATGTACAATCTGATGGTTTCTTTGATAGGGATTAATCTCACATTCTACAAAATATGGGTAATTTCATGTCAGACCATCAGTTTTATTGGCAGAGGATACAAAAGTACCCACTAGAAACAGACCTGTGGCAGGAAAAGGACATTAACCATATAACATGTCCAATGTGAAAATTGAACCTTTATTGTGGAACTGTCCATTAAACAGAGGGTTGATGTCACATCTTGAAGTTGTGGTCACAGTTTGGAAAAATTACCATATTTTAAATGGCTCGACCACTACGGCTCCTTGTACAAATAGACAATGATTTAAAGCTTTGATTGGTTGCTTGTTTGATGGGATTTTAAGGTCACTTTCTACACCATATGGGTAATTTCATGACAGTCAGTATTATTGGCAGAGGAAAAACGAAGTACTCAGAGGAAACTGACAAACCTTATAACATATGGCATGTAAATCGAACCTTAATTTTGCAACTGCCCAACCAAGGCTAAAACCCATACCTAGAGGTGATAGGCTAGTATTCATACATGTTAGTTTTGATGAACTACCATATGATCACGACCACTGCAGCCCCTGATAAGCTTTGAGGATCAAGAATCCATACCAAACTAGGATAGCAAATACAGACATGAATGCATGGCAGGGCGTTTTTATACTGATAATCGCAGTGAAAGTTTTTAAAGGGCTATTTTAAACATGTATGATAAATTCAAAATGGAAATATGCCTCAGGACAGACAATTTTTGTCGAGCCTGCGACTTTTGTCGCAGAAAGCTCGACATAGGGATAGCAATCCGGCGGCAGCATTAACTAACTTCTTAAAATCTTAATATTTCAGAAGGTAGAAGACCTGGATGCTTCATACTTTGTATATAGATGCCTTATGATATGAAGTTTCCGCCTGTCATATGTCCATTGTCCTTGACCTCATTTTCATGGTTCAGTGACTACTTGAAAAAAGTTAAGATTTTTTGTAATGTTAATTTCTCTCTTATTATGAATAATATGGTAACTATATTTGGTATGTGTGTGCTTTGCAAGGTCCTCATGCCTGTCAGACGGTTTTCACTTGACCTTGACCTCATTTCATGGATCAGTGAACAAGGTTAAGTTTTCGTGGTCAAGTCCATATCTCAGATACTATAAGCAATAGGTCTACTATATTTGGTGTATGTAATGATTGTAAGGTGTACATGTCCAACTAGCAGGTGTCATCTGACCTTGACCTCATTTTCATGGTTCAGTGGTCATTGTTTAGTTTTTGTGTTTTGGTCTGTTTTTTGTCGAGCCTGCGACTTTTGTCGCAGAAAGCTCGACATAGGGATAGTGATCCGGCGGCGGCGGCGGCGGCGGCGGCGTTAGCTAACTTCTTAAAAGCTTTATATTTTAGAAGGTGGAAGGTCTGGATGCTTCATACTTTGTATATGGATGCCTCATGTTACGAAGTTTCCGTCAGTCACATGTCCAATGTCCTTGACCTCATTTTCATGGTTCAGTGACTACTTGAAAAAAAAGTTCAGATTTTTTGTAATGTTAGATTCTCTCTTATTATAAGTAATAGGATAACTATATTTGGTATGTGTGTACCTTGCAAGGTCCTCATGCCCGTCAGACAGTTTTCACTTGACCTCAACCTCATTTCATGGATCAGTGAACAAGGTTAAGTTTTGGTGGTCAAGTCCATATCTCAGATACTATAAGCAATAGGTCTTGTATATTCGGTGTATGGAAGGACTGTAAGGTGTACATGTCCAACTGGCAGGTGTCATCTGACCTTGACCTCATTTTCATGGTTCAGTGGTTATAGTTAAGTTTTTGTGTTTTGGTCTGTTTTTCTTATACTGTATGCCATAGGTCTACAATATTCGGTGTATGGAAGGATTGTAAGGTGTACATGTCTAGCGGGCAGGTGTCATCTGACCTTGACCTCATTTTCATGGTTCAGTGGTCAAAGTTAAGTTTTTGAGTTTTGGTCTTTTTTTCTAATACTATATGCAATAGCTCAACTATATTTGGTATGTGCGTACCTTGCAAGGTCCTCATGCCCGTCAGACAGTTTTCACTTGACCTCGACCTCATTTTATGGATCAGTGAACAAGGTTAAGTTTTGGTGGTCAAGTCCATATTTCAGATACTATAAGCAATAGGTCTTGTATATTCGGTGTATGGAAGGACTGTAAGGTGTACATGTCCAACTGGCAGGTGTCATCTGACCTTGACCTCATTTTCATGGTTCAGTGGTCAAAGTTAAGTTTTTTGAGTTTTGGTCTTTTTTTCTAATACTATATGCAATAGTTCAACTATATTTGGTGTATGGAAATATTTTATGATCTATTTGGCAGTCACGCAGGTTTTATTTGACCTTGACCTCATTTTCAAGGTTCATTGCTCAGTGTTAATTTTTTGTGTTTTGGTCTGTTTTTCTTAAACTATAAGCAATAGGTCAACTATATTTGTTGTATGGAAGAATTGTTAGCTGTACATGCCTGCCTAGCATGGTTCATCTGACCTTGACCTCATTTTCATGGTTCATTGGTCAATGTTTAGTTTACTTGGTTAATGTTAAGTTTATGTGACAGTTGTAATAAAGCTTTATATTTAGGACTATCAACATAATATCAATGATTAGTAAAGAAGGCGAGACATTTCAGCGTGTGCACTCTTGTCTAATACTGTATGCAATAGGTCAACTATATTTGGTGTATGGAAATATTTTACGATGTACATGTCAGTCTGGCAGGTTTTATTTGACCTTGACCTCATTTTCATGGTTCATCGCTTAATGTTAAGTTTTTGTGTTTTGGTCTGTTTTTCTAATACTGTATGCAAAAGGTCAACTATATTTGGTGTATGGAAATATTTTACGATGTATATGTCAGTCTGGCAGGTTTTATTTCACCTTGACCTCATTTTCATGGTTCATTGCTTATGTTAAGTTTTTGTGTTTTGGTCTGTTTTTCTTAAACTATAAGGAATAGGTCAACTACATTTGATGCATTGAATGGTTTTAAGGTGTACATGTCTGTCTGGCAGGGTTCATCTGACCTTGACTTCATTTTCATGGTTCATTGGTTAGTATAGAATTTCCATGGTTTGGTCTGTTTCTTTTATACTATAAGCAATATGTCATCTATATTCTGTGTATGGAATGATTGTATTAAAGGTGTACATGTATTTCCGGCTTGGTTTATCTGACCTTGACCTCATTTTCTTAGATCATAAATGTTAATGTGATACTTGTAGTATAGCTTTATATGTAGGACTATCAACATAAAATCAATTGTCAGTATAGTAGGCGAGACATTTCAGTGTGTGCACTACTGTAAACCTGTAAATCTGGGACCATTTGGATATTTTAGCTTTCGTGCTTTCGTGCAGTTACTCCTTTCAGCCATCATCATCTTGAATTCATCGTTTTGGTTTTGACTAGTAGATGCTTTGTTCTATGGTTCAGGGCAAAATTTGTCAATGATAAATTTCACATATTTATGAGATTTATCAAATGCAAAAGCCACAGATATTAGTTCTGTCATGTCCGGGTG